GCGCGCGCCGCGCCCGCCTCAACTTGTGCTGGTGGAGCTTGGTGGCCGCGGCCGCGCAGCCCCGGCCCTTGGCCAATAGCGCCTCGCCAGGCGAGGCACCTGCTTAACCCTTTAAGCCTGGGGCGCAGCTGGCCGACTGGAACCCAGAGGGGTAGGGCCGATTGGCCAGAAGTTGCCAAGGCCAAGAGCAGCAGACACCGCCCAGCCCAGTGTCCCCGCTCACGGTCTAGGGGCCAGACGCTTGCCATTGCCGCGGACTTGGCCGTCCCCTTCCACCCTCATGGCTCTTAGGAAACAGCCAAACCTCACAAAGGTCGGTTCGCGCCCCAGTGGCGTCCCGCGCCTGCCGAGGCCACCTCTGCGGTCCCCTAACCCGAGTCAGTTTCTGGAGGAGCCTCAGGCACCCAGCAGCCGAAGAGAGACAGAGGGAGGGAGCCCTAGCTCTGGCTGGCCGGGCCCATGGTGCAGCTGCGTTTCCATTTTCCTCTCAAAGAAAATGCTTTGGACGGCAGATAATACCACGGGATATGAAACCGCTTCATCCCCCACATGTTGCACGTAAAAAGAATCGTAATGAGCATCTGTGGCGTGTGCTGGGGATCCTACGAGTTAGTTGAAGACCTCACCGAGGTCCTGACTCCCTCTTTCCTAGAAAGGGGTCATTTTCTATCTTAACGGCATTTCATTCGGAGACTCTTGTTCAGAGGCCAAAGGCAATGTTATTGACCCGGATGGGGGTGGAGAAAGGGATGAGGACTAGAGGGCCTGGGTAGGTGGGAAGGCCACTCCATAAGGATCTGGTCACAGATGGGAGTCCTCGTTCCACTCGGAGGACCACAGCCAGGCGACGTGGGTTAACTTCGACTTCCGTCTCTACACTCTCCCCCTCCTCACCTCTCATGCTCAGAGCTGGATCTAAAGAGATCTCAAATATCCCTTGGTCCAGTGCAGACTTTCCTGTTGAAAGAACTGGAAGCTAACACTAGTTCTAGAGAGGTCAGGAATATTTTAAGGGTTGGGAAAAATTTTCCTCTGACTGCACAGGTCAAGGGCTGCAGTCCTGTAGGCCAAAGGAAGCTTAGTAAACAGCTGATGAATGAGGCTAAAAATGAACATAGATGCAGGCAGTGGCTCTCTATAAAATAGGATTTGTCTGAATTATTGGCCCATTATGGGGTGGTGCTGTGCCTGCCACCTGGTCTCTAGGTCAACCAGTTCATGGAGGCTTCCAGCAAGTGGCTCCTGCTTCCCTGTGCTTGGACTCCAATAGCTTAATGCAACATTCTAAGGTAGATCCTGTTGATCTCTGTGCAGTCTTAATGTGATGAATGATGCCAAAGGGGGTAAAACCCTCTTTGTCCAAAAGAGCAGAATTTCCAAAAAATTACTTTCCCTTTTAAACTCTTTCTACGCAATCAACAATGAGTTATATTTATAGATACTATCACCATTCTTCTTTAATTGTTTCGATACAATTTCTATAAATAGAAAAGGCCAGCGATTAGATTTTTTGACTACTTATTTTATGGAATAGCTGGTCTAGAAATATGAGGCATTGCTTCCCTTCCTTTTTGGAGGGCAAGTTTTCTTGAGAGCCCAAAAAGTAAAATCATCCCAATCAAAAGAATATGTGAGATCTGTTGTTAGATATTTAAAACTAGATATGCTGAAGCTACTTCGATTTTACTTTATAACATTAAAATAGAGCTTAATGAGCACATTCAATTTCAAAGTTCCAAGCTTTCAACTACCTATATTGAAGAGAATTAATATGGCTCCTGCCCTCCAGGAACTTTCTTTTCTAAAATAGAAATACACAGAATACTTAAAGAAGATTTGCACAGTAGGTTACCTTAAAATGCATATGATAAGTCTGTTTCAGTATTTTGTTCTCACATGCATAGTTTCAGAAGTTTGGTCTGCATGTATGAGAGACAAATTCCTTATTGGATCTGCTTATCTCCATGTTCATTAAGGACCTTAAGCAAAATATAAGTTTATTCATTCATTAGTAATTCAGATTTCATTACTTGGCTTTTTCAGTTAAAATCTTTACATGCTGGCAGCTGTTTTGAAATATTTTGAAAGTTGCCCTGGCACTCATCCAACCACAAGGGCTCCAGTTATCATTAAAATATATACTTTCTCATTTTATATTCTCCCCCCTCTAAAATCTACATATTAGTTTACGTAGCGATATAGAGAAAGATTTTATGATCTTTTAACCCTGAATACATGCATATGACAAATACTCAGCTTTCACAATTACATATTTACATCTTCATCCTTGTTGTCAGTGTACAACTGTGCCTTTTGCTCATATGATAAGAATGTCTATTCTCTGGAAATTCATTTCTATCTACTTAGAGTTAAATAATTTGATTTGGAATTTTCACTATTGGTTGTCAGAAGCTGCCAATGATAGGTAGGAGAGAGGAGCTACAAAGCTTGATTGTATCTAATTTTTGCTTTGCTTTGGTCAGATATTTAGGAAGAAAATAGTACACAGAGATCAGGATATGATAAAGCAAAACAAAATAAATAGAATAAAAATACTATATGTAATGAATAAGGTAAGAAATGCCTTACTCTGAAATATTGTGTTTTATTGAAGTGATCATGCTTCAATGAGAGTTTTTTTTTTTCCTACTAAAAACCTCATGTGATAATTTAGAACAATCTGAGAGATGAGTCTTCATCGTAGGACAAGCCATGAGCTAAAATTCAGGTCTCTCCATATCTTGTAAAGGAGATTTTATATTCTGCAGAGGGGTTAAATATTTGATTTAAACAATTTTCCATCTTTGCTCCTCAATCCAAATTGAATTCAATCTCTTACTGCTAAATTTGCCATAATATTAATATGTCCTCTAGTCCATTCAAAGCAAAGCTACACTGTCGGGAGAGAAAAAAATAACATAAACTTAGCAATATAGTCTTTCTTGATATTCCAGAAGACAAACTAAGGAATTAAGAGAGAATATCTAATAAATCAGTATTTATAATATATATATGTACATATATAATATATAAAGAGAGTGCTGGGGATTTTTTTCATATTAATTCTACCTATATCAAACACTAAAGATCTGAAGCTATTATGCTAAACTAATTCTCAGAGGATTTTATAAATATATAGCTAGAAAGAGAAGAGATTTAGTTGAAAAAGAAAAATCCTTCAGCTATTTTTTTTTTTTTCCGTTCAGCAGCAGGCAGTAGGGAAGGAGAAATTGTTTCTTAAAAATTTTTGGTGAGTGGGAAAGGATCTCAAATCCGCAGTATTTTTTAGTTAAAATATTCACATATTGTGGCAACATTATTCCAAAACGTGTGCAAATTAATAGAATTTAACTAAAGCTAAATTTAGACTTAATGA